AATGCAGAATAGAACCAGTGAAGAGCAGGGGTGCCATAGGCACAATCAGAGAACACTGTATAAACATCAGAGGTCCATGGTTGTTCAACATCCTCCTAGCGAGTATAAGAAATATTGCCGGAACAACCGTGGACATCTTCAAGAGAAAACTAGATCATTTTCTCCAAGGCGTGCCGGACCAACCGGGCTGTGGTGGATATGTGGGCCTGCGGGCCGCTGCAAGCAACAGCCTAGTGGACCAAACTCTCTCAAGTCAAGCCTGGCCTCGGGCTGGGCTTGGGGAGTAGAAGAACTCCCAGAATCTAATCAACCAGATATCAACATTCCAATCTTTCCAATGCCAATACTGAAAATATCTCATGAGTGTCTGAGCCTAACCTGGCCTAACCTTGTCCAAGGTGCTGTCTTTCACTCTATTGGTTAAATAATGCTCTCTCATCCATAAAAGTTCCTAACATCTCAGTAAAGTCTCCATGTACTTATGTAAGCATCTACCTCAGTATCTTAGTAAAATCTTACTCAAATGTATTATCTTACTCTGTTATCTTTAAATTTAATGGTATTTTGATTTATATTGTTCACTTATTGGATTTAATTAATTGAGTTCATATTTTTCTTAAGTATATATTAATTATAGGATCATAACTAAGCTAATTATAGTTAATTATCATTAAAATTATATTACTTTATGATTATTTAAGTCAGTATTAATTAATTAAGATTAACCTTGTAATTTTTTTGTCTTCATTAATTCCATATTCTTATTGAACATTATTCTTGTCAATCTTTATTGATTTTTGTTTTTACTTGTGTATCCTTCTTGTCTAACTACAGTGATCTTTATTTGACTTTTTTGTGTGTGTTTTTGTTATAGTTATTTGATATTTACAGCAGATATAGTATTTTACTGTTGTGTAATTGCTTGCCTTATTGTATCTTGACTCCATTGCATCTACATGCAAGCTGATATTGATCCTCAACTAAATCTGCTCTCACACATCTACAATAACCACCATATTGATCATCACTACTGCACCTATTACACACCAAACTTTGCACAAAAAAAAAAAAACTCCAAAATAACACTTGCCTATCAGTTTTCAACCAAAATGTCAGATCACTTGGTAAAAAATTTGATGATATAAATGCACTACTCACAGCATTAGGTACTAAACTATCATTTATTATTTTAACAGAGACCTGGCTAAGTAAAGACTATACTCAACTCTACTTTTTCACTTATTGTGTTGCATATAATATTACTTGATGTTGAATTATAATGCAACTTGCATACATTAAGTATACACCTGATTAATAGTGTCACAATAATGCACACACAAATGTTTTCAATTACGCCATGTATGTATTCACATTTTTCATTATTATATTTACACACATCCACTCACTATTTACAGGTTTTTGCAACATCATTGCACATTTAGAAGTCTTGGAGATAGTGGTAGTCGTTGAAGCAGTTGACAGCGCACAACGGGACTGCACACACTTCACACCATATTTGCACTAGTTTACGTTTCTGTGGTCTCTCTTTTTTTTTTTTTTTTTGTTCTACAAACTATGCAATCACGTTGGTCTATATGCACGCTTTCCAGCTGGTGGCAAATGTTTTAGTCTGTGTGCTTAAAAGGCCTCCGTGTAAGTGAGCCTGGGTGTAGCAGCATGTTGCAACACTGGGTTCATGATGGGGTCTTTGTATGCCAGGAATTTCTTTGCCAAACTTTGTTAGTAACTTTGTCACAAGTGTAAAACCAAACGAACGGAAACTTGGTTTACGTCCAGTTTTCACCAGATACATATTGTAGCTGTTCAGCATGCTTACGTCAACCAGATGGAAAAACACTTTTCTCATCCACTTCAATGTTTTCCTAACACACTCGACAGCGCCCACCATCATGTCACGTTTATCAACCAAACGCATGTTGATATTATAGTCAAGAAGACAATCTGGCTTATATACTGGTTGTTTTGTTACTCGGTTCACCTTGCCACTGTTCACCATTGTACCATCATGAACGGTTGTCAGCAAGTTCACTTCTCTCGTCTTTCCACCTAACTGAGAGTATTTGATCACTTTTTCTTAGCTGGCAGTCACCAACTTCAAGATTATTGTCAAACACTGGCATTTCTCGTCTTCTTGGCTTTACTGTGCCACACACTCCAGTTCTATTTTCAATCAAGAACCTAGCTAGTAAGGGACTTGTATAGTAGTTATCTGTGTATAAAATGTGGCCCTTGTTCATCCATGGTGCCATCAGTGACTTTACCACACTACCTGAGAAACCATGTTGGTCGTTACCGGGAATGTCTACATTGCTAATAGAATACAGAATCATGTGTAACACGTATCCTGTTTCACAGTCACAAAGAACAACGAATTTCAATCCAAATCTGTTGTGTTTGGAGGGAATATACTGCTTGAACCCAACACGTCCTTTGAAAAGCACAAGGGATTCGTCAATCACCAGCTTCTGTGCTGGTACGTTGAAATATCTGTACTTTCCAATCACTTCATTCATAATATGCCTGACTCTCCAAAGTCTATCAATCTCTGTCCGGTCTTCATTACTTGCAAAATGAAGACACCTGAGGAGTATCTGAAACCTGTCTTGGGACATATATTTCCCGAACTAAGGTGTTGGAACAGTCTGGTCTTTGCTCCAATAATCTGAGATAATATGTTTTACACAATGTTTCATCAACATACATAGTGCCAAAAATAAATACATTTCACCTACAGTGGTGTTTTTCCAATGCTGTAATCGTGAAAATTCTGTTATATTTTTCCAATGAGATGAGCTGCATGAAGGTTCGTTTGGTGTACAATATATTCCATGAGCGTCTCATCATTAAATGCTGTAAAATAGTCTATTTCACACACGTCCTCACCAGTATCAGGGAAAAGGTTTGTAATACCATCACTCCACACAAGTACACCTTGTGTCCTGCGAGACGAAACACCGGCACGACGGCGAAGAATCGTTGCACACCATGTACCAGGAGCTGAAGCCTGTCTATGCAAAGTACGGGTGCTATGTGAACATGAGGTAATATCACGTGAACATGAGGGTCTTGGTTCCTCATGTGGTGCCCTGCGGCGGCGCTTGGCTGGGTGAGACGCTGCTGACACGACAAAATCTCGCTTGGTAACACCACTGGCACTAGCGACAGGCATGGTAACACTATGTTCTGAATCCACCTCATTAAAAGCAGAAAAAGAGTCACCTTCCTCTGACTCGTCGCCCAAAATATTCTCATACTCTAAATAAGTACAAGAACTGTGTGGTCGTGCACGAATTGGAGTAGACACTGGGCGAGGAGGCACTGGTGAGCGTGTAGGCCCCGCCATGGGAGGAGGCTGTATCTCAAATTCACTCTGTGCTACTATCATCGGTCAATTGCGTGTAGTGCTTATCAATGTCAGAGTTATCAATATCACATTCCTCACCATCAGAAAATAATTCACTAGTTATAATTCACTTAACTCTTGAGTAAGTGATTGAGTGGTGTGTGCCCGGGAGGCGTTTGGCCGTGCGCTCGCCATGGTGACTGCTAGGTAACTGAGGCTTTCCACGCGTTGGTGGCGGAGCTGGATTTTTTCAAAATGGCGGCTGTTTACTATAGCCCCTAGGCAGCGTATGGGGGGCCCCCACTACCCCCCACTGGCTATTCAAATCTTGCGCGGTACTTCATTACGTCATGTGACGTGATGCGCACTTTTGCGTAAGTTACTCAAAAGTCATATGACGTGTTTTGCAGCTTAAGGGTTAAGTGAATGAGTATTACCTGATGCTTGGACAAAGAGTGTTATTGTTCATATCCCCAAACCACACTCAGATAATTATAGGCCCATATCTCTAACATCATGTGTTTGTAAAGTGCTTGAACACATTGTCCTTAACCGACTCACGTATCGTATACAGGGGCACCTGTCTCCCCAACTGTTTGGATTTATGCCTGGGCTCAGTACACAACACTGTTTTCCTGACTACTTCGCTCATATTGAAGCTTCCCCTCAAGCCGTCTTCATCAACCTAGCAGCAGCTTTTGATACAGCAAACAGGGAAATCATGCTAGAACAGCTTGCTGAGCTGGGAATACAAGGAAAATTACTGAAATGGATAATGGGCTGCTGAAATGGTCTAATCGAACAGCATGTTTTGTTTAACCACTGTACTGTTCTGCATTAAAATATGACAACCCCTTGGTGCACAGAAAATAAATTCTTTCCAAACAATTATTTTCTCTTCTTATATTGTTAAAAGAAGTCTCTGATCAATGAGAATAACTGGAAAAGTAGGACGCTGGATACTCAATTTCCTGTCGAACAGAACACAAAGAGTAACAGTCAATCAGATAAAATCGAGTCCAAGCGATGTTAAAAGCTCTGTACCTCAAGGTACAGTCCTTGCACTGCTACTGTTCCTTATTCTCATATCTGATATAGACAAAAATACACGTCACAGCTTCGTGTCGTCCTTTGCAGATGACACAAAAATCAGCATGAAAATTACCTCTGCTGAAGACATTGAAAAACTACAAGCAGATGTCAACAAAGTTTTCGATTGAGCAGCAGAAAATAACATGATGTTTAACAGTGATAAATTTCAGGTACTCGGGTACGGTAAAAATGAGGATCTGAAACATAATACATGCCTAATTAAACAGCTTGTCTTATATACTCGCATTTGGGTGAGGTGATATGTTGCAACAGTTTTGTATGAGGTGAACAAACTTTTGACCAACACAAGACAGAACACGGAACATTGGGTATTAATTGGATAAATGAGAGGGAAGAATGGAAGTAACTGCAAAGGGCCTATTGGCCCATACTTACTCTTGATGCTTCTGGTACTCCGTACCAATATAGAACCTGCTCTTACCATAATACATAAACAAAATTATTACATTTTTCTAAACATTTATTATGTTTTGATGGGAAAATTTAGTTATAGAAACCTTAAATGTTTTATTTCCCCTAATAGGTAATACGGCTTCCAGTCTCTGCTCGGCTACCAAGGACGATAGCAAACACAACTTCTGCCCATTAATGATGGTAAGAACACTTTTATTCTTACTGTACAAGAGGTGAGTGTGTGTGTCATGTTGATGTCATTAACCAGTTATGGTGAGCATATTAATCATGATGTTTACAGTAACTAGTGATAATGACTGTATTTATTATGTTTTCAATAACTAGTGATGGTGAGTGTATTTATTATAATGTTATTAACTAATGATGGTGAGTATTAATCTTGATGTCATTAACCAGTAATGGTGAATGTATTAATCATGGTGTTGTCATTAACCAGTGATGGTGAGTGTATTAATCATATGTGTCATTAACCAGTGATGGTGAGTGTATTAATCATGGTGTTGTCATTAACCAGTGATGGTGAGTGTATTAATCATTATTAACCAGTGATGGTGAGTGTATTAATCAATTAACCATGATGGTGAGTGTATTAATCATGGTGTCATTAACCAGTGATGGTGAGTGTATTAATCATATTGTCATTAACCAGTGATGGTGAGTGTATTAATCATCATTAACCAGTGATGGTGAGTGTATTAATCATTATTAACCAGTGATGGTGAATGTATTAATCATGTGATGGTGAGTGTGATGTATTGTTATTAACCACATGTTATCACTGTGATGGTGAGTGTATTAATCATGATGGGTCATACACCCAGTGATGGTGAGTGTATTAATCATGGTGTTATTAACCAGTGATGGTGAGTGTATTATCATGGTGTCATATGATGGTGAGTGTATTATTGTTACCCAGTGATGGTGAGTGTATTATTGTTATCACCCAGTGATGGTGAGTGTATTATTGTTATCACCCAGTGATGGTGAGTGTATTATTGTTATCACCCAGTGATGGTGAGTGTATTATTGTTATCACCCAGTGATGGTGAGTGTATTATTGTTATCACCCAGTGATGGTGAGTGTATTATTGTTATCACCCAGTGATGGTGAGTGTATTATTGTTATCACCCAGTGATGGTGAGTGTATTATTGTTATCACCCAGTGATGGTGAGTGTATTATTGTTATCACCCAGTGATGGTGAGTGTATTATTGTTATCACCCAGTGATGGTGAGTGTATTATTGTTATCACCCAGTGATGGTGAGTGTATTATTGTTATCACCCAGTGATGGTGAGTGTATTAATCATGGTGATATTAACTAGTTATGTTGAGTGTATTAACCCTCTGAACTGCACATAGTGCCTTAATGCACTCAATCGGGGGTGCGCATAACCCCTTAATGCACTCGTAGATATATTGTAGGATTCAAAACTTGGGTACAAGATGGAGGCCTGAGGCTTCCAATGAGCATCCACCAGTTTGAAAAATATTCCCAGCATGCCCCACAGCCGTGGGCAGACTCATTTTCTGGCGGGAGCCCCTACGGCTCCCCGGAGCTATCCATGGCTGATATGGATACCCTAACTATTTTGCATCAGTCGATGTGGGTGGAGTTCTAGGCCTACCGGGGACCACGAGCCAGAACCTGGCCCCCTCAGAGAGGCACGGGGAGCAATGGCCCATAGAAATGCACATGTGATTTGGAGCATTCTATATCTGCCATCGACCGGGACAGGCACCCAGAAAGGTAAGCGCCACAAAACAAACCCCTATTCTGGTTAACAACAAAAATCGACAAACGAGTGGACAGAACTCCCCCCGGAAAACAAACTAACAAGCATGACGTCACACGAGCCGTGCCGCATGTCTGCGCAGCTCCCCCCTCCCCGGGAGGGGGAAGGGGGAGCCCCAGACCCCCGCGCCGGCGATCCCCGCCCCAGTTCCTCGGCTGATGGGATAATGCACGGTCGTGTGGCTCCAGCTCCAGTCTTGTCTCAGTGCTGTGACTTGTTTTCAGTGCTGCTCTTACGGTGGTCGTGTGAGCTGGGAGTAGTATTCTCAGGTACTCGGGCTGCATGTGCTTAGGGTCACCTTCCCTGAGTGCCCTGTAAGTACCGCCCTTGGGGCTTGGGGTTGCCTTCCACAAGTCACCTTGGGTCTACCACTGTTGGCTTTTCGCTGCTTGGCGTTTGGCCGCCCCGAGTGTTTGGGGGTTTTACTCCCTTGTTTACCTTGGGGTAAGTGGTAGTTATAGCACTGGTGGGGCGCAGGGTACTGCGTAGCTAGTTTTCACCTATGACAGCGGCCGGCTCTGTTCCCTCTGGGTACGTTGTCCACTTGTGTGGTTTTTCTTTTATATTTGTTTTTGCCTGGTAGGGGGTCTGCCTTGTGTTCCCCCCCCCCCCTTATATTAGGTTCGTTTGTGTGGTGGCACCCCCTGCTTCGCCCTCACGGGTGGACACATCCCGTGGGTTCAGCTTTAGCAGTTTGCTTGGTAGTTTGGGGCGCCGGTTAGCAGTGCCCTGCCTGGGATAACCCTTAGCAGACCCAGTCTAGGGGCCCTGGAAAACCCCGCTGGTGCTCTCGGGTCCGATAGTGGAGACCCTTGCGTCCCCTCTCGCTTTGTGCGAGTTGAGGGTTGCTCTGTCCCTTTGTCTCAGGGTGACTCTCCTTGTTTTTGCCTCCGTCATGCTGCATTGTTGGGTCGGTGACACATTCGACCCTGAGTCCTGCGAGCTTTTTTGCTTGTTCGTGACTCCATTCACCCAGTCTGCTGATGAATTCCCATGGGTGCAGGCAGCTTGCGCGTTGCTGGGTAGGATGTTGCAATGCGCTCAGGTTTGTCGCTTCCCCGGACGCCCCGATGCTGCCCCGCTTGTGTAGGGACCCAGACTTGGGGGTTTTGGTCGCTTCGGCCTTGGTTCTTCCACGGCCCCCTTGTTTTTCCCCCTCCTGCTTCCGGCCCCTATGCATCTGCAGGCTTCGGGGTCGGGGCGGGGGTTAGAGGTTCTGAGACTTGGGCAGTTTCGGGGGTTGCCCCGTCCGGGGTAGCTGCGGAGGCATTCGAGTCTGTTCCTCCGGCGATGCTCCGGGGTCTGACCAGTGGGCCCCTTCTCTTCCAGCTCTCTCGGCTGCCCCGGCTTTTTCTTGTGGGGCCGGGGCTTTGGAGGTCGACTTGGCCCCGGGGCCTGGTGTAGAGGCTCCTGGGGTTGGGGAGGAGCGGCCTTGGGGTCCTTGGGCTCCATTGCGCCCCGCCTGGATTTTCGTCCTTCTGAGCGGGGCTTACTGTTGCGAGGAGTGGGGTTTTCTTTCCCCCCTCTGCTTACGATTTGGGCTTGGGTCCTGCTCCTCCCCGGGTTCGGTTCCGTGTCCCTGTGGTTTCTTCGGTTCCGTCTTCCGGAGGTTTTCGGCTAACCGCATCTCTTCGTCTGCGGTGCGGTTGGCCTTTGCGGCTTGCCTCCTGAGTGTCCCGGAGTTTGCCTCCATACTGGTTCGTTCTGTTCTGGATAGGTTGGGCTCCTTCTAGCCGTTTGGGCTCCTTGTAGCCGTTTGGGCTCCTTGTAGCCGTTTGGGCTCCTTGTAGCCGTTTGGGCTCCTTGTAGCCGTTTGGGCTCCTTGTAGCCGTTTTGGGCTCCTTGTAGCCGTTTTGGGCTCCTTGTAGCCGTTTTGGGCTCCTTGTAGCCGTTTTGGGCTCGTTGTAGCCGTTTTGGGCTCCTTGTAGCCGTTTTGGGCTCCTTGTAGCCGTTTTGGGCTCCTTGTAGCCGTTTTGGGCTCCTTGTAGCCGTTTTGGGCTCCTTGTAGCCGTTTTGGGCTCCTTGTAGCCGTTTTGGGCTCCTTGTAGCCGTTTTCCTTGGCTCCTTGTAGCCGTTTGGGCTCCTTGTTGCAGTTTGGGCTCCTTGTTGCAGTTTGGGCTGCTTGTCGCCGGTTGGGCTACTTCTCGAGGCTACTTCTCGCCTTGTTGGGCTACTTTTTTTTTTTTCGTGTCCTGCGCATGTGCAATGGGAGTTAGTTTTGGTTCCGGGCGGTGTGCACACGTGTTCTGCTGCCATTTTCTCTCAGGGGGGCTTCGCCTCTCTCTCTTTTCTTAATCCAATCCTTTCCCCGTTGCTTTGGGGGTGTTCTGGGGTGCCTCTGTGGGGAAGTCACGTGATTTTTCCCTGCGTTCTAGGGTGGGGAGCCTCTTTCGCCACTCCCCTCCTCTCCAGCATGGGCGCCCTGGCCGCCTCCGGCGGCTACGGACTCGAAAGCTTGCGTCATGGGCCTTCAGCGCCTATGTTCTGCAGGTGAGTTGGTGCGGTTTGGCGTCTCCTTCGTCCTGACGCTGTTTTTGTTTTTGGAAGTAGGAATGGGTGTACATACGTCCTTGAGAACGTGGACCGTACCACCCGAGGTGCCTACTGCAGGGCTATTAGCCCATACTGGGCAGCTCTTGTTCTCTCCACCTGATTCCTTCCTCGGTTCACGGGTGTCTGCGGGTAGCCTCTTGTCCCTTCCGAGGCGGCTCCTGCCTGTACTCCTCCTGCCCTTCTCCTCTAATTGTCTAACCTTGCTTGAGTTCGGGGCCCCGCCTCCACCTTGTTCCGCAGTGCAATGGTGGGGGTGCCTGTTCGGTGGTACGTTTTCCTGTGTCGAGGGTGTTTTGTGCTCGCCTCCTTGTGCTTGCAGGATTGGGTTCTGGCTCTTTGGTTCCACCTCTCCCCTGTCGTTTGCCTGTCGAGTTGATTCTGTGCTTCATGGGCGCTCTCGTCTCTGCTCTTGGGGCTGTGTATGGGGTCAGGCCAAGTTGGACTGCCTAATGTGTTCCTTCGATTGCCTGTTACACTGCACACATTTCTTCTACCGTCCCTGTGGCTCAGTTGGGTGCTCGGTTTCCGCCTGTGTCCCCTTGTGTGCCACTTATGTATGATTTATCTATCTTCTGTCGCTTCCTCGGGGAGTGTGGTGACGTTTTGCTGCGGTTTTGGTACTGCAGCTGCGTGTCGGGGTTGGTTGTGGCATTATGTTCGGCCCTTCCGTGCTCCCTCTGGGGCCCTCCTTCCTTGCTGGTCTTGCTGTGCCGGGCCTGGTTTTTCCATGTTCCTTGGATTCTCTGTCTTGTCCTCGCCTCGTTGTGCTGGCTGGGGATGAGCTTGGGGTCTTCATCTCGCCCCTCGCCTATCCTCCGGTTTCGGTTCAAGT